AATGGTTCCATCGTTACTCTTCTTTTCAATTTCTACATGGAACTTGGCTTACAGTCTACAAAAGTTTACCGATTTATACCGTATCTCCCTCGAAAGTGCTTCAAAAAATTTGTTCAGTCGGTTGTTGATGCTAGAAGGGAAGGAGACGAGAACCCTTTATCCGGTGTTGTTGCAGAGACTATGAAGCTTTTGGGTAATTCATCCTACGGTTACCAGATAATGGACAGATCGAAACATACGATCACAAAGTATTTGAATGATGAGAAAACACACTAAGCCATTAATGAACCACTTTTCAAACGATTGAACACCGTTCAGAAAGACTTGTACGAGATTGAGTTACTAAATTCAACAATTGGGCACAAAGAACCAATAACAGTCGGATTTTTGATTCTGCAGTACGCAAAGCTGAGAATGCTTGCGCTTTATTACAATTTTTTCGACAAAATTTGTGATGTCGATAAGTTTGAAGAATTAGAAATGGACACGGAGTTGCTATATTTAATTCTTGCTGAGGAAAATTTGTATAATTGTATTCGTCCGAAGAAAAAAGGTTACTGGGAAAAATCGAGAGAAAAAGATTGCAGAGATTCATTCAGAGCAGATTCAAAATAGATTTTTTTCCACGAACATTGAAGCACAGTAAACGAGAGCCTGGTCTGTTGAAAAAAGAATTTAGGTGTACGGAGATGCTATGTTTATGCAGCAAGATTTATTGTTGCTATGACAGCAAATCAGACAAGAAGAAACAAAGGATTGATAAAAGATTTCTAGAGGAATCCGGTGATGAACCTATAGAAAAATACAGGAAAGTACTCAGCGAAGCAATCAACTTGACTTCAACAAACAGAGGGTTTAGAACCATTAATCATATGGTTGCTACATACGAGCAAACAAAGAAGGGATTGAGCAATTTTTACCCTAAAAGATAAGTTCAGGACGACGGAATACACACAAAACCCTTGAACTTGTAAATAACTGATAGTGTAATAGCATTCAATTCAGTATTGATTAACTAACTATAAACCTGTGGTAAAATGATTATACGAAGCAGTGATTTACATAATTCATCTTTTGAATATAACTTTTTTTTCAAAAAACATGATTTTTTTCTCGAAGTTTCGTTAGGTTTCAGTATAGTTTTAGATAGTTTTCTCGTTGAATCAAACCTATAAAACAAAAATCAAAACACCTAAACCGTAGAAGCTAGCTAAGAAACCCAAGTATCGGCAAAATCGAGCTCCAAAATCTCGGGTACCTAAATGTTTTCAAAACTTACCATCTTACGATCTGAAAATTACGTAGATTTTTGCGAACGAGATTTTTGCGAAAAAAAACTAGACACTTCTACACAAAATCCAAAAAACTTTCGTTTTCTTACCATTATCGTACCATCACACAAACCATAAAACCTTATAGCTGAGTGACCGGATGATATATTCCCTATCTTAAAATATGGAGGTCATACACAACCCCCCCCCCCACTTCTCCTCACTCTTCTACTACTTGTCATGCTCTTTTTTATAGCTATTTTTTGTAATTGAGGTGTTGGAGTCATCATTAAAATTTCTGTCTTTTTTTGTGTTTTTATAATCATGCGTATTAAGGGAATATGCTTTTCTTACTAATGTTTCAATTCTCACTGCAAGTTGTTTAATTGTTTCATTTGGGAGTCTACAAACTTCATTGCAAAAGACTCTATGAAGTAGTTTTTTTCAGAGTCGAAGAGTTTTGAAAATTCTTGTGCGAATCTTTTCCAATCTGATTCAATATCTGTAGTTCAAACTTAAAACCAATTTAGGGCTGCGCCATCAAGTGTGGTTTGCTTTAGAGCTGTGCGTCTAAATATCAAATTTTGATGAAGCAGTGTATTTACTGGTTCAAGTCCTATATTTAAAATCAAATTTGCTGTGACTGCAATTAAATAATCTTCTACCGAGTACTCGGGATCTGTTCCTGTGAACACGATTAGTGGCTTATTTGAAGATATAGAGGATCCACCCATAAGGTATGGATTCATAGTCATTTGCAGTGATTCTGCGGCATTTGGTATTTGAGAAACATTTGTAAGCTGAGTTTTTGTTATTTCGTTTTGTTGTAAGTAATATGGTATCGGATTTCATTTTGCATATGAGTTGGTTGGTAATTTTGTGTGTTTACTGGGTTTTGTGATTGAAAATTCATATTGTGTGACCTTGGGTTATGTCTTGTTTGTCGTATTTGTTCGTTCTGTGGCAATTGGTTCAAAAAGATTGAGCTGATAGAAAGGATCTGGTTGATCAATGTTCCAGTTTGTGTATTGTTGATTTGTGTTGAATCGTTGTTAACTTTGATTATAGCATGCTTCACCTTCTGAAAAATGTGGTTGATTTCTAGCATGGTATTTATTTGTAACGTTTTTATTTTGTTGAAAAATTGGATAACTTTTGCTATGGTCTTGTGTAGTTATGATTTTACATATTACCTTTGTCAAGGATGTGCCATTTTATCTTTAAAAGTGAATTCTCGTGCACATGGACTATTTCTTTTTTCGAATAAATTTACAATTAAGATGTGACAAAATTGTACTTGTCCTCCGGTGGGATCAACTTGTGGATGTATAAGAAATGGGAGTATCGAAATATCATCGAAATTTTTGTTGTACTAGATCACGTTTAAATTGTAAAACTGTTAGTGTGTAGCATTCAAAATGTAATATTGGTTAATTCCAATTAAATGGACGTATTGGTTTGTTGATAAATGACTTTTTATTTTGCATTTTTCTTTTATTGATGATGGTGATGTGGCTTCTGAGTCAAAAAATTTGGTCGTCACTTGGTTTATTTGTTTAGCTTAAGCTTAAGTGTTTTAGCCTGGGTCATCTAAGAGTAAGGGATCAAGTGAAGGATGAGTAACCGAAGTTCTTCGTTGTTTATCCTAATTAAAATGGTCAAAATCTTCAAAAATTCTATTGGTCCTGGGTCGTTGATAAGGGTTGGATAGTGAATTGACGTTTGAGGTCGTTAGACACTTAAGAAATGTGGGAGGGGGAGAACATAATAGTTCTATTTGTTCGAAGGAAAGCCTCAATGAACATATTTTAAAGAAATTTAATTTAATTGACCTTAAGGATCCAAGGGAAGACTTGATGATCTGTTATTTAAATTAAGATAACTTAAGTGAAAACAAGGATAAGCCTTGATAAGTTTAAAGATAAAATTTAAGTTGAAAAGGGTTTAAGGTTAGAGTTTAGATAATGTTAGTTTCTTGAAGTTTGCTGTTATTTTTTAGTGATGAAGCTGGGAGGAAGGAACGATGTATACAAATTAATAAAACTAACAATTATGTATTATACTAACTAATTTTTGTATTTTTTTTTCAATATATATTTTTATTTAAAATGTTTTAATTTACTGCAGATTTTGGGGGAGAACGACTTGTGTTGTTTTTATCAGTCGTTATTTTATAAATAGCAGGTTTAGCACCCTTAAGGCTACTGAAGGTTTTCTTCAAATTTCATGTTAGCAAATGAAAATTTAAATTTACTGCGGAAAGGATTCTAAATACGTAGGTTTTTCCGGTTTCCGTCGTACTATCAGGAAATCAATCGGTAGATTTCTTCTTAGTCGTAGATCGTGCCTTGTACTTGGTCTTCTTGCAATACCTGGTGTTTCTCGTTTTGCTAGGAAAATTGAAGGAGAAATTGAGTCGTAGAGACATTTATAATTGTCTAATTCTAAAATCTATTTTTTTTCGAAATCTGAAGTTGTTAAGGTTTTGTTCGAGACTTTTGGTCGCACCGGATGAGTTATATCCCATTGACTATACTCATATAGTAATTTCAGATAAAGTACACCGTCTGCACGTCACGCTATCTCATTTTCGGCCGGATAGATTCGTGCAACTACTTAGTCTAATGCCGATCTTGGTCTCACTCCTAGTCTCAATAGATCTAGTGTATACTGGTTTATGCGAGTTAGTTTCCAGAAGGAGAACAACTGTATTCTAAGTTTAACGCAAATTGCTCTGGTGCTGAAACTAAAAGCAGTTTCAGCACTTACAAATAAGTGTAAATTTTAGAGATGAAATATGATTGGTTAGTTAGGAATATTTTATAGAAATAGAGAATCAATTTTATAACCAATTATAAATTCCAGTTTAGAACTGGTTCCAATACGGCGTCATGCTACCATAATTTCATCATTTCAAATTTGACCAATAAATTTTAAGCTGCGAACAACTTACAGAAATTGTTGTAATTGGTACCAATCTTCGGAGCATGACATATATAGTCTAGCTCAGCGCAAACCTAAGACTTGATCTCTCGCGAAAGAACAAACAAATTCCACTCTGATAACGAGTAGTGACAATCCAAACGATCGTCAGATATGTTAAGACTAGCGAACTGTGGAAATCTCTTACAAGATAAACGTTTGAGAGAAAATTTATTATATGATGGCAATATGATTTATCAAGAAAAAACTCTGGGTTAAAAAAAAAACTGTGACATAATCAGTTCAGCATAAGTAAAAAATTATTGGACCAAGTGAACATCAATCAATTTAGGAGGGAGATAGTTCACTTGGTAAAAAGTAACATTTTTCAACATATTACATTCCAGCCTTTCCGCTTGAGTTTGTCATTTATTTTATGAGAGGGGGGACGGTAAAGATATTGTTCACATGGAGCCAAAATATCCAGAAGATAACTCGAAACTATTTATAATTGGATACAAAATTCTGTCTGGATAAAAAACGAGTTTCCACGGGTGTGGATAAATATAAAGTTTTTGTTAATCGCAAACCTGTTTAACCGGTTACCATTTTTTATGAACTTCATTTTTAACCTGAAAAATTTATCCTAGGCGTATTGTAGATCTAGAAAATGCTTGCCCTATTCTGAGCGTTCTAAGGATAGTTTCCTTCCAGCTGCATCATTGCTAAATTGTTTTCTCAATTTTTCTTTGCACCTGCAGAACCCTAGTCTTAATGAAAAAAAAATAATAATTCAGTGAAACTGACCATAGCAATTTCTTGAGGGGCATCCAATCATTTTCGTTAGACTTTTTGCGCTTTACTGTCAAAATCTTCCTAACTGCTTCACTGCCACACTGCTGAATTATTTTTTTTAGTTTTTCAAAGAACATTGTTCTGTTCTCAGGCACGAAATACAAAATTTGATCAACTTCTTTTCTTTCCGCTAATATGTGGCATTTTGCTAGTAGAAGTGATGTCTTCCCGCATCCTGCTTCACCGACAAAAAGTACGCGTTTCATTTCGTCGCTGTTATTGGCTAAAATTGCGTGCTGCTCTGGACTCAAAATGAAATCAGTCTCATTGTATGTTAGAGTTTCTTTTTTCTTTCGCCACAATGCGAAGGATTGCGATTGCCTATATCGATCATCTATGTCAGTTGTGTCGCACTTTTCTTTCGAAACAAAATTGAGGAAGTTCAAGCTCGAGAGTGCCAAAACTGAGTTTATATCAGGCAGAAATTCACAATTTGTTGATTTATCGCAACTGAAGATGGTCGAAAAGGGAGTACTGAGCTTTTCTAATGTGAGGTTTTTACTCAATTTGAACAAACTGGAAGTCACTTTGTTCGGTAAGTTCTGTTGATTTGATGAATTCTGATTCAAATCTGCTTCGAAGACGAATTTGAGGCATCCCAGAACATTTTCATTAAATTTTATGAGATCTTTCGTTTCATTCATTATCTCACCTGCTAAGAATTCTTCGAATTTCTCCTTTGATATATTTGGGAAGATAATTAGCATTGAGAAATTATGTCCAAGTATTGTTCTGAACTTTGATTCGCCAAGTTTTTCATCAAATAACATACAAAGCGAGTAGATGACAAGCTGAAAATGTGGCACTGTTTTCGTCAAAACCTGGCGAATTTTGTTTTGAATGGCGGTTTTGTTATTTTCTCTGCTTTCTGATAGCCCAATTTCGATTGCTGTTATTTTGTTTTTTCCCAAATACAGCCAATCGGTTTCAAACTCACCAGGTAACTCTGAGTTTTCATCCAACACTGTTTCGAAGTGTTTGCTGCTATAGTTTTTCAACATAATTCCGCTGGGTGACTCTAGCTGCGATAGGTACTTTTGAATGAAAAGAGTGACCTCGCCGTAATAAGATCCCCACTCACTTATTTTCGGCAATTCACCGTCGTCCGTTGTTTTGTATAACAAACTATCACAAATTTTGTCAATATCCGGAACAAAAACAAGTTTGTCTCTGCACTCCGAGAAATAAATCTCATAAACTCGGTGAGTTTCGTCTTTATTATTGAAAGTACATTTATCGTTGCCACCACATAAAAACTTTTTGGAAGTTATTTGGTACAACGTTTGCTTGGTTACCTTTTTCTGACTTTTCACAAATAGAGAAATTCCTGCAGAGTTCCGGTTTTGTGACGCAGTGTCGTATATAATTGGAGCGAGTTGATTTCTGTCTTTTATAAAATCCCATAATTTCGGGAAGCAAGATTGTTTGAGAGCTTTTTTACAAGCAGGTTCGAGAGCTTGTTTACAATCCTTAATATTTTTTTCCGCCCAAAAAACAAGAACCATGTCCTCTTTCGTGAGACTGTATTGTTCTTCTAACGCTAGAAATTGGTCTTTCAGCGAATTGATAACTAATTCAACGGAGTTTTGCTTAGAAACATCGCTGATCGTTTTTATTATGATAATTTTCTGGAAACTTGGGCCAGGTACCAGAACACATGCGTGACTGTGTTTTTCTGGCTGAGTATCTGTGGCTTTTTCCGACTTTTGTCCCCTCACAAGAAGTCCCTTGACATCGCTCAACATCAAGTTTTTTATTACTTTTTGATGGCTGAGAACACATTTCGTGAAGGGGTTGATTTGCTCAACTGCGTCAGGGGGGCCTGGGACAACCTTGAGAGTTTCAAGAAGCTTTGGCCAGACATCTTGAATGCTCAAGTTCTCTGTAGGCGGAACTCCATGAGACGATGAGCTAGCCTAAAACAGCAACGACGTTTAACTTTTCTCAGAAAACAAAATGCAAACATTTCAAAAAATTATTGTCGTAATTCGATCAAAAAAAATAAATTGATGTTTTTCCGAAGTAAAATTGTAGTAAACTATTGTTTCCTGCAAAATAGTTGAGGAATTGCAAAGTCAATATATATTAGTTCAATTTAATTTATATGCAATTTCAAAAAAAAAGATTCATAAGCCAAGAAAAACAAAAACATTTTTGACTCAACTTATTTAATAATTCAACCATTCTTGTTTATACTGCGGCTGTCATTTCAATAAATTTTTTAAATTGAAAGGGTATTAGATTGGTTGAGAAATGGTTTTAGCTTCTTTCTACAAATTAGCTCTGAAACTATGTTAAGATACAACTTATATATAGATCTGTTCCTGGTTCTGTTTATTTTAACAAAAGCTAAAAATGAGAAGCGTTAAGGGATTTTATGAATGCCCACATATCAGTCAGATTTGAAAAATCGGGAAAACAATGATTGAGAAATCTTAATTTGTTGCTAATTTTAGCAGTGTGGGTGTTAGACTTATAAAATTTTTTGGCTCTTTTTCCTTTTCCCCAAACTCAAACATGACTTTTATGGTCTAACGTATGGTTTTACAAGGTTAAATATGAAGACCAATAATGTTTATCATTGCCTAATTAGTCTGCATGTCAATTTTCGCGACAGTGAACAGTAACTTCAAATAAAAAAATTTGCAGGTGTGGGGAAAAGGAAAAAGAGCCAATTTTTTTCATAACCTTGCTTTTAGTCAGTGTTTGTCATCTTCTAACAAATTTTTTAGTTAAAGGGAACTCGTCATTCGCGAAAGCAAAACAAAAAAAATGCAATTTGAAAAGGGACCATTTTTTAAAGTGAAAAGTGGAAAATTAAAAAAACTTTGAGCAGTTCGAATGTAGATACTTGATCAGGGAAATTAACAAAAGAACGATGATTTTGAGCGGCCTTTTGAATTTTCGTAGGAAATGCATTTTAAATTCGTCACACAAATTTTGATCCTGATATTTCTGGAGTGTTTATATCCACAAGACTTACTTCCATTTGGACACTGCTCTTTGGGAAATTTTTTGAGTTGATGGTTGAGCCGATAATTACTGTTTCAAAAAGGGGAAAACGTTACAGGTAAATATAAAATCATTGAAACAAATTGTGGGCTGAGATAGGTGCAAATTTTAAGTTCAAGCTAAAAGAAGTGAATAAAGCTATGACATAACTGAAATGAACAAATACAGATTAAACAGATTAACTTCAATAAAAGATCGTTGAAAAAAGAGAATATCAAAAAGATAATGATTAATACAAAAATTGAATACAATAACTTGTTTTTGGAAATCCTAATCAAGTTAATTTTAGTTTACGGCCTAGAAGTTTCTATGCAAAAAATGCATCAAAACTGTTGAAATTGGTTGTTGCAGAATTTTTCATGCTGCAAAAGTTCCTTCCAAAATAAAACACGTTTTTGAATTAGATTGATTGTAAATTTTGTGACCAGCATTACCCAAACCTTCCGTTCCTTTTGCAAAACTGTTAATTGATACACAATAAGATGCAAGGTCGAAATGAATTTTCTATAATTAGAAGTAAAATTGGAATTTTAATGGTAGCAAAATGAAAAATAGCACTTGCATAGTTAGTTATTATGAGCTGAATATTGAATGCAATGTAATATTGATAACTCAGAAATAACTTGAACAATGTGCTGCAAAAATTGATTGATTTTGTTTTTTTTTCAGCATTAGCTGTTAGCTTTATTTAACAATCAACACACGTGCGTTGCTTGAAGAGCGTTTAAACAGAGTAACTTATCGACGCAACACCTTCTTATGAACAGTTTCTAGAAGGTGACTTCGGTATATTCGATAAGATTTTCTTTTTGTATTCAATTTCTTTAAAGTTTTCTCTAGACTTTGTGAGCTAAGTTTGCAAAAAACTGAAGAAAGGTGTGATTTTTGCACTCAGGTGGGATTTTTGCCATGAAAGCCTTGATCGTTGTTACGAGCACGCTTTAAATTCGTTTGTGAGTTTTTAAAAAATTAATGTGAATAGACACACTTCAAATTGATTTACTAGAGCTGAACCTGCCAAATTTTTATCTGTTAACAAAAACTTCTTTCCCAGCATGCACTTTTTTGAATTTGATTTTTTAAATAAACTAATTCAAAAACTTACAAAAATTGGATGTTAGCGTGTAAATTTTCAACTCAAACAAATTCAAATTCCCTTATCAGAAAGGAGGAGTGATTTTTTAAACAGTCTTCTCTTCGTCCAATTAAACTTACCTTACACAGATGACTATGAACAACGTTTTTGAACAAGGCAAACTTGAATATGATAAATCGCTAATGCATAGAAAGAAATTTTGCACCACTAGAATTACTAAGCTGAGGCAGCAATTTCTTCTGTACTAAGCAACGATGGGGGTCGGCAGACCCCTTGCAAATATATTACACAGAGGCGAAGCTGCTAGCGGCCTCGCAAACACTAGCGAGCTCACAACAAAAAAGAAGCTTTATAAAAAAAATTAAGAAAAAGTTTATTGTACCCTGGATTTAGTAAAGCTAGCTACGAATCGGATTTCAAGATTTCAAGTCTGTCGTCCTGCCCTCTCAGCCGACAAACCTTAGTTTTAAGTATTAAGACGGCGAATAGGAATGGTAAGGTTTCAGTGTGTATACCAAGGTGAGATAATGGTAGGAAAAATGAGTACACACGCTGAACATAATCACTGCTACTCCGTATCTTATTGAATTTCACACTCTACGCTATCTTAAAACAGTGCGCCAGACCCGAAATCTTTACTCTATTTTAATACATAGGGTCTGCCGAGCCTCTTCTCTATGAACACTTCCAAAATCTACAACTCCGACCAGAAACTGACAGTAGTTGAAAACTGATTGGTTGCGCGCATGAATTGTTCATACTAGACAGTCTAGAAGCGTCGATCACGAAACAATTCGGTTTAATGATGTTGAATTCTGTATATACAATCTCATCAAGCAATGAAACTTCGAAATATTTCATAGCGATTCTCAAAAGTTCAAAATTTAAAGCAAGCTTTCAAGCAAAAAATTCAAAATCCTCTTTTCGTATCTCATTGTGATATTCCTAAACTGCGTAGCGTGTTGAGGAAAAAAAATAAGAAAAGATACTGTTAATTTACTGTTCTTGATCTTGTCTTGTTAATGAAGTTAGTAGCTGAGATTGGTTACTGTTTTATAGCATAAGATATGAAACACTGACCAATTCATCTATAACGTTTTAGTAACACCAAATGGCCTTGACCACTCTTACATAATAATAGCATAATAAATATAGTTAGCACATATGGGTACTGCAGATGCAGTAGCTAGCAAACTGTCCTCAAGGCTACGTACTGCGGATGCTGCAGTACCACATTCCCCCAGGGACCAATAAAATGTTATCTAATACATATAAAATTTTATAAATAACAATACTACGAGTTTTCAGCTCAGTTTTTGTAGTCCCATTGATGCATGAAGGTTTTTTGAGTTTTAACTATAAGTTTTTTCTAACCTTTTCTTTCATTTTGAGTGTTTCTTAACTTCTAACGGCACTTTTTACTGCGTGCTCCACGGTTGTGTCGTATCCAAAGCGGCATAACCAAACTTCTTCCGAAATAAATGGCGTTCTAAAAACTTCAGTCGGGTTTCCATCGGATTATTCTTGTCCGTTTTGACGTTCGCCAGTCCGAATCGATACTGCTCTAGGGCCATTTCATTAATGTCTGCTTCTTCGTCCGCGCTAATGTATTTAACCGAATGTTTGACTGGGCTGCCCAGTCTTTTAGGCCCCTGGTTTTTCGTGGTTCGCTTACTACGCCTAACGCTCGCACTTCCTTGATCGTCTACGACTGAGTCGTCCAAAATTCCTGAAGGAGATCCGTGTTCGCTTGTCGTTTCTGTTTGATTTTCCGTTCTGGATTTAATTATTTCGTCCGCCGTTCTTTGCAGACCTCTAGTCAACACTTGATCGGCGAGGCTTTGCCATTCTTCGTCTCCCATGTCTTGTTTTTGGAACGCAATCAAAATTGAGCTAGGTGACGTGTCCCTTGTTATGCGCTTCCTAGACTGTCCACTTTTAGTGCTCGAACTGCCTGGTCGATCAGCTTGATCCACCGTTTCTGTTTGCCCTGGATCAGTGACTTCTTCTGCTGTTACAGCAGCTTTCTTTTTATCTTTCCCTTTGGATTTAAGCGTTTGATCTCTTTTATCCCGCGAGTCCCCTACCGGGTTTAACGCCACCTGCTCTTGTGTTTTCGGTCCCACTGTCTTTGGACCCCTGAGATTCGGCTTTGCTCGCTTTATTGCTAGGTTGAGTCCCCCACCAACAGGTGTGTCCCGCGATGTTACGACAGTCTCGCTATCTTGAAACAGGTCCTTTGTCTGTTCTCTCGGTATATTCCATTCCTCCTCTTCCGATATCGTGTCCTCCAACAGCTCGTCATCTTTCTTCTGGTGTTTAGTCTTTGGCTCCTCTAATGGATTCTTCGTTTTCTCCTTTTGGTTTGTCCCTTCCTTGGGTGTCTTCGTAGGGGAACTCGGCAACTTTACCAGATAACTTTTCCGGTATACTGCTCATGCAGCTGTTGTCACTGTTTTTGGTGAATCGAAAGCAACCTTCCCCTTGAACGGTTTTGTCAGTGCCGCCCCACTTCTTCTTGTCTCGTCTCTGCGACTGAGTTTGTGGCTGTTCCACTCCGACCCCTTTGGTTTGTCCTCAACAAATCCCTTTCCCCATTGAGTAAAGAAGCTCCTTTCGCAACTCGGGGTCGATTGTACTTGTGGTGTCCACTAATTGTGAGAGGATGGGTCTACGCCGCTCCGCATTCCAGTTTGCGTTAGCCTCTAACAGGTTCCGGAGAGTTCTTGCTCTGTTTCTCTCCTGTGTCGGCATACTGGCCTGTTTGAAGAGAGGACTGACATCCCTGCTTTTCTGCCCTTTTTTGACGATCTTTAGAGAATGCCAAGATTGGTCAATGCTCTTCTTGAGTTGGTTTGCAGTTAATGCCGACCTCTCCAGATGCTGCTTATCTAAATGATCAGAGATTTCTACTAATATATCTCGTATAATTTTAAACTCCAATTTTGGTAATCTACCAAAATGTGCTTCAAACGGTGACTTCTGTATGGTTTTCTGTTTTATCCACCGCATGTCCCTAATTATCGTACTGAGACATAGTTCAATTGACTTCACATTTTCTTCCAGTAGCATCACCCCCAAACGCCTTTTTATGGTTTGAATTGTTCTCTCTACTAGACCACACCCGCGATTGTCGCCCACCGGGCAGAACTTTTGTTCTATATTATTTTCGAGACAGAATTTTTCATTGCTTTTCCTTTGAATCCGGAAAATTGGTCGGTTTTCATCGATTCTGGGATTCCGTGTGTATCTATGTACGACCGTAGGAATTTTATAGTGGATTTTTCCCCCGTTGATTTTGTTACTTTCACCGAAGGAAATTTCGAAAACCGATCAATCGCTGTCAGCAAGTAGATTTTCTTTCCTTTATAGTCTTCTAAAGGTCCCGCGTAATCTAACTGAACCTCCTGCCCTGGCTGCGATAGCAGTGGCAGTGGTTGTGAGGAATTTTTCGGTAAAATATATTTTGCATTCTTACCATAGCGTGTACATTCTCTACATTCCTCCGCTAGGTTCACGATATCCTTGTGCATGTGGGCCACCGCAAATAATTGGACACGTCAATCATTGCGTCTTGCCCCGGAAGTCCTCTATGAATGCGCTTCATAACTGCTTGACGCAGTTGAATTGGTACTGCTATCCTATTGTCTACCAGAATGCAGTCATCGATTACTGAGAGTTGATTCCACAGCGGATTCGTGTATGGGTCCATGAGTTCAAATCCTGCCCGATCCTTCCTCTCTATTACGCGACGTAATCGGTCCATCCACACATCCTCCGAAATGAGTTCAGCCAACAGCGTTTTATCGAACAGTTTCGATAAACTGAAACTCCCGACGTCTCCCATGTCTGCCACTGAGCTCTCCAACTGCGTTTGCCGTTTGTTAAACCTTTTCGAGGGTTGAAATTCGCTGACTTCTTGACCCAGATCGTCGTCCTCTGCTGTTAGATCCACTTCTATGATTGATTTAATTGGTGAAACTGAATGAGTACCTGCTCTTGGGCTGCTCGTGACCATCTGAGTGATCGCCTCTAGCTCTTTGATGTTTCTTGACATCTCTTGATCTTTGCTGACCAGATCCCAAATGGATAGCAAGTTTTTTGTTTCCTCCGCGTCTTGATCCCACATTACTGGTCGTGCAGCACAGCTGTCTTCTTCAAAGCTGTCTGACCCCGCTCTTTCTAGTGTTCCTCTTCTTATCCGACACGTTCGATGGAAGATAGTCTTGGTTATTTCTGCTTCAGTTAATTCATCGCTCTCCTCCTGTGTCCTACAGTCTCCGATCCTCACTGTCTTTTTCTTCATTTTTCCGTCCTCCATTTCTTCTGAGATTTTTTTTCTATTTTTGACTAAATTGACCGACTGAACTGCTCTATTGATATTGACAAAAGTCTTCTGATTCAACACGTTATTAATAGGCAAAAAACATGAATTGCAACAGTTCTCGTTCCGGTCGAGCTTTGTTCGGTTTTTGACAGTTTTGTTGCTATGGCAACCACGCCTGGATTTTAGCAAATTGTCTCCTCTTTTCTGTTTTTGAGAATATTCTAAAACTTTTTCACTCTGAATTGTTACATCAGTATCATTCAG